GTGCCCTCTTTAATACCCATCACCAGGCTAACCCATCGTCCCACCCCCCTCCCCTCTAGAACCCTCAGTTTGTTTTTCAGAGTCCATCGTCTCTCATAGAAACAGACTCAACTATAGAGAACAAACTGATGGTTCCCAGAGGGGAGGTGGATGGGGGATGGGTGAACTAGGTGATGGGGATGAAGGAGTGCACCTGGCGTGTTGAGCACTGGGGGCTGTATAGAAGTGTTGAATCACTATATTGTACACCTGAAACTAATATTACACTGTACCTTAACTAAGTGGAATTTAAATAAAAACTTCAAAAAACCTAAAATAAAAATTTAATTATCACAACAACCCAATGAAAGAGATGCTATTTTTGTCATCCTTATTTTACAAAAATGAACGAAAGAAACAGAAATTAAGTAACTTGCCCAAAGTATTATTGGGAGTAAGAGTGGAAGTAGGAAGATAGGATTCATACACATACCCTCCAACTCCATTGCCCCTACTCTCTTCTGTGATGAAAAGAAATTGATAACCCCAGTTACTGAAATGTTGCATAAAATGATAGTAAGCAGGTCAGGTAGAAATTTCCAGTAGGTGATTAAAGTATAAACTTGAGAAGGAACATACAGAATTTCAAATTATTTTAGAGAAATTCCAGGACAGAGAACAACTGAGTTATTGCAATCTTTGAGAAATTTGAGATCAAGAAATAAGGAAGCCTGGAGGCAGAACCCTTGCAGAAAAAATGTACATTTAGGATATGTGAACAAAGAAGAGATGAAACAACACAGATTTCCCTTTAGAGATGAAGGTAAGGGAAAGATGGGACTTTACTTTGAATCTAGAGATGTACAATCCCTAGAGTGAAGTGAAGATGAGTGAAATATTGAGTCCCTAAGGAACTAAAGACATGTCGTGGCCCAGGGTACACAATCTCCTTATTCGTTTACACATAAAATCTGGTCCCTGAGGGAAAAGACTGATCAAGCTTCTACCCTGTTTATAACCAATTGTGTTATATCCTTAAACTCATTTTAAATCTATGTCCAATAGGTAGTAAATGTGATGATAATAATAAAGGCTTTATTTTTCTCTGCTTCTCAAGAGGACTCAAAGTCATAATCAGAAAGTATGATCAGGAAGATTTCAAGGGTATATCTGAATTTATGTCAGGTTGAATCCTCTTAGAATCAAAACCTCCCAGCCTGAAATTGCGTTTCCAGGACCATGGGGGTAAATACCAAGGATAAGAGAACATTGAGGTTTTTCTTTTTTTCTTTTTTACTTTTTTATTGTTATGTTAATCACCATATATTACATCATTAGTTTTTGATGTAGTGTTCCATTATTCATTGTTTGTGCATAACACCTGAGAACACTGAGGTTTTTCTGACCTAAGGAGGGTGAGTATCTGAATTCCATTTATAATAACATATTCCTTGTTTCGAGATGGAAGTTCAGAGGTCTGAGATATGCCACTTTCTTTCCCATTTTCTGCATTGACATTCAAGTGAGGCTGGCAAGAGAATGTGTTTGAGGGAGATAGGAGAATGTTCAGAAATTTGGGGGTGCAGGGGATACAGTATCTCCATCGGTAAGTTCCCTCTCTATGGATGGAACTCTCACTCTTCTGGATTTATGGCTTTTACTCTGTGATGTGGGGCAGTAACTCAGCCTCCCCTAGACCCTGGTCCCTCATTTAGGTCAAAAACCAGTGTTCTTAAATTCTCACTCCATCAAGTGTAATCTGCATTTGAGGCCAGCGTGGGGTTGCTAAGGATTCTACCTCTTATTTTACTGGTGAGGAGAGGGTCAAGTGAATGAAGACATAGTGAAATTCGAGACAGATGATTCTGTCCTGGTCCCAACTTCTCCCTGCTCCCTTGGTTTTTCCAGCAGTCGTTTCCAAAGGTCAAGTTCATTGGCCTTGCCTCTCGAGGCTGTTTGTGATGCCCTTTGTTATATTTAGCTTATAAATGCTTTAATAAAGGGAGAATTAGTGTTCCTCAGGTTCATGATAGCGGTAAAGGTAGATTCTCTGTGTCTAGTTGGGCTCCTCTCAGGCATCTCCAGTGTATACACTCTCTTTAGTACAAGATCTTTCAAGGAGAGCTGAGTTGTTTCCTTATGTAACCCTATTTTTCTGTGCTCACTGATCCTCTTAGAGAAGAATGGTTCCTGGAAATGCTTCTTTTGTGACTGAATTCATTCTGATGGGGCTAACAGACGTACCAGATCTCCAGCTCCCCCTCTTCTGTCTGTTTCTAGTCATGTATGTGGTCACTGTGTTGGGAAATTTGTGCTTGATAAATCTAATTGGGCTGAATTCACACCTCCACACCCCCATGTACTTTTTCCTCTTCAATTTGTCCTTCATAGACCTCTGCTATTCTTCTGTGTTTACACCCAAAATGCTGATTAACTTCTTATCAAGAAAGAATATTATCTCCTACCTGGGGTGCATGACCCAGCTTTACTTTTTTTGTTTTTTTGCTATCTCTGAATGCTATGTGCTGATGTCAATGGCCTATGATCGCTATGTGGCCATCTGTAACCCACTTTTGTATAATGTTGTCATGTCCCCTAAAGTGTGTTCCAGCCTTATGCTTGGTTCATATTTGATGGCATTTTCAGGTGCTATGGCTCACACAGGATGCATGCTGAGGCTGACCTTCTGTGATGTAAACACCATCAACCATTATTTTTGTGACATTCTCCCTCTGCTCCAGCTCTCCTGCATGAGCACTTATGTCAATGAGCTGGTGGTTTTCATTGTGGCGGGCATCAATGTGATTGTGCCCAGTGTCACCATCTTTGTCTCTTATGGTTTCATCCTCTCCAGCATCCTGAGCATCAGCTCCACCGAGGGCAGGTCCAAAGCCTTCAGCACCTGCAGTTCTCACATAGTTGCTGTTTCTCTCTTCTTTGGATCCGCTGCATTTGTGTATCTTAAGCCATCTTCTGCTGGGTCTATGGATGAGGGAAAAATCTCTTCTGTCTTTTATACCAACGTGGTTCCCATGATGAACCCTTTCATTTACAGCTTAAGAAACAAAGATGTTAAAATTGCTCTGAGAAAAACTGTGAGTAGGAGAGTGTTTTGATCAGAAACAGTGTCTCCACTTAGTCACAGGACAGGGAGTTTCTGTTTTTAATTACAGCAATTTTATTGGCAGCCTGCTTATCCTATTTCTTTCTTATCATGTTGAAGGAGAGTTGAATCTTCTCTCAATAATTTATTTTTGCTTTTTGTAGAGTAGGTTTCTCTTTTTTCACCATTTGCACACTTTCTTCTCCCCTTTTTTCATTTAGTAATAATATTTTTTTTAAAGATTTTATTTATTTATTTGAAAGAGAGAGAATGAGAGACAGAGAGCAT